CGGTTTGAACGTGCGTCGTCTGCGGCAAAGGATAGATAGCTTCTCGCCTAGCATTCAAATGGTGACCTACGAACACATAATATGAGAAGTAAATTGAACACCCGCAATATGTTCAATCCCGTTCAAAATTACACACCCGGGCCGAAACTTTACATTATATTCGACAATCTATATAGTCATTTAAGCTTAAAGTCTGTAGACCGTTTTTAATACCCCTATGCAAAATTGAGAATCAAAATGTTCTCTTGTGTTCTAATGTACAGATTAATCTTGCAAATCTCGTGCTAGGTACTTCGAGGCACAGCAGCAAAGCATTGTGGTGTGCATTGCACATGTTGTTTTAGAGCCCTTGCACCTCAGAGGATAGATATATAGGGGGGATCTTTTCCGAACCTCTCTCTTTCAAGGGCCTCAGAATTTCCCGATAGCATGCTATCGATATAATGTACAGAACAATATGATTGTGTAACGTCTATAAAATTTGTATTTATATAATCTATAGGACAGTGTGATTGTTTGACATGGATACAACATATGGAATAATGTGATTGTCTATAATATCAATACAATATACTCGTATGGAGCAATATGATTGTATAATAGGTGCCGATTCCAATGTACAGAACTATTTTTATATCCCTACAAGAAGGATTAATCAAATGATCTAGTTGTAGATACAAAAACCTCGTCATAATGATTCGATTTTCTCGCAGACTCTACAATGAAACACCATGAATGATAATGCGGCGATGGAATCCCCAGAAGCATCAATTTTCACTCGCGATGCGTAATTTTAGATTCCCTACTAGTACATACTTACATACCTCCTTCCCGAAAAGCATTATTGTGAGATTGATACACATGTAAAATCTTTTGGTTGCAGATAGTTGATACCCAGTAAGCACAATGCGACGCTCTACTTATCCCAGCACCCTTCCCTCGGATACGTACCGATGCCTCGGGGTTGGCGAGCTCCTAACATGTATAGATTACATGATCGATGCATGCATGAATATGTACTCCGTAGAAAAATAGTAAGCATGTACTTATGTAAATTTGTTTCTACTTCTATCAGACAGAAGGGGAAATACGATGGCATGCAGCTTATGAAACTGTGATGCCGGGTTGTGGCAAGGAGGCACATGAAAGGATGTGATGTCCGTACATGGAAAAATAAGACCACTTTTTGAGTGGAGGTCCTCGGGGTAACACGGCAGCCGTTGGAGATGAGGGGAAATACCATCTGGAAAGAAAAAAGTTGTTGGGTTGTACGGGGTAGACGGTGGGATGGGGGGATGGGAGGATGGAGGGGGCAAAGGTGTGATTTCATTGGATGTTATGGTGAAGGAGATAAAGTCCGGATCAATTAGAACGTAAGGAAGATTTATCGTGTCTAGGTAGATACTGTATCAAATGATAGTTTGAATTGTCGTTTAACTCATCTGAAGTTGAAAGAAACTAAATGCTGTAAGAGTATCTTAGCGATGTTGCTACGCACCCCTGAATTGCTAATTTTCGGATTTCTGCAGCATCTCCGAAGAACTACCTAGTCTGGTTGAGCGGATGTGCTTCCGTTTGTTTATTAATTTGCCGCATTTATTCCTTCAAGTGGTCGAAAATCACAAAACGAGATATAAATCCATAAGTAACGTCACATAATCCTGTCAGCTAATCCGATAAACCCCACAGTGACTTACTCAGTTGCGGACACTTGGGCCAGCTCTAGGCTTTGTATTGATAGGTATGCTGGATATCCTTGACCTTGTCTTCACTCAAGTCAAGAAGGACACAAGCCTCAAGGTTTCCCATCCTGGGTTGGCCGAAAAAGCATTCCCCGGCTGCCCGCAATATGCCAATAAAAAGCCCCTCCAAATCATAGCCGCATATTCATTATCTTACCTACCTGGGTGAGGTTTGGGACCCCAAGCACAATTTCGTTCGATCTCACGAATTTCCAACACATGCAAGAACGTTCCGTTGGGTATGATGTTCAAGTGCTTACTAGAGCTTGATCATAGTATGGCGTATAGCCGGACCATGATTATGGATTAGCTCTGGACCATGGCACTTCTGGTCATGGAGAATTTCTCTTCTAAGCCTTTAGTCACGAGGACGCAACTCACATTTAACCAAACAGGATGATGTAAGGCTCCTTGTCATTGAACCTCGTCGTGCCACTCTAACGAGACCTAGTATCTATTACTAAACCCTGATCCTAATGCTTGCATCTACGGTACTTTACCAAACCAACGGTAAACATCTTCCTGGCAGCTTCGCTATCTATACCAATCGGACTCTCCTATTCTTGTTAGCATATCATCATCCTTGATAGATGAGCATGGGGTAGAAAGAAGTGTATGCCGAGCTCATCAAGGTCTGATCACAAACGATCTTCGAGGGTAAACGCGATCGGGATTTTGAAGAGATAGAAAATTGAAGGAGTAGCTTATTGAGCTTGAGCTGTATCTTTGGTTAATAATACACCTCTGTTAATTCCGCGATCCTAAGTCGACGGCTCTATCAATATAACCTCCTACACAATACTAAATCATCCTTCACGGTACTTGGTGAGATCCAGGTGGAAGCGAGCAGGAATCAACCAGGAGAGGTATCTATGGTATAATCCAGCAATCAATATAAATCAGTGATACGAGAGGTCTCTAAAAATGATCCGTGTGAATGATTTTGGGGGAGGGGCTTAAAACCTATCACTTCTCAGCATGGCGTATTGTTGTATGCAACCTAAACTCCTGCCGCTTCACTGCCGCCGCACATCTCTCTTTTAAGACGGCCCAGCTGCTCCCAGCTTCCCAATTCCCAAACTGTCAAACGCTCGTGCATATGCCGGGTTGCACATTTCCTACATCTTGCTACCTTCTACGATCACCGGAATAGATCTATCAATGTATTCCAACTTTTGATTCATGCTTAAGGATGCCAAGTATGCATGTACGCCGCCGCAAAGACAAGCGATACTTACTTTGACCAGACGAGCTTCAGGGGGTAATTCGGTTTGAAATTTGTGACGGCTGCATTGTAACACCACTCATGATCAACCCAGCAATTTGGGCTCCGGTGCCTTTTGGGTTCCCATCGGATTTTCCTCCTTTAGAAACTGCTGGGGTGGAAGGAAATAGGATGGATGATATGACATGATAATGTCAAGTAACGAGAATCCAATGATATCGATACTTACAACCATATGATGTTACCGTTAGGGTTGTGAGATGACAAACAGACCATGTTATATTTTGAACCAGTTGTTTCTTTTTGTATCAATTGTTATATCAAGGATGATAATGAGCGTTTTGAACTATACAGATTAGCTTATATTATAACTTCGGATTATACAGGAATCCAATGATGTAACATTCCTATGTTTTGAAGGGTTGGTTTTGTTGGATTAGATGATGTTGTATGATTGATCACGATATGACTATCAAATTGAACTTGTAAACTTATTTACTATATCCTGATGGCCGAATTGTTCTAATTTGATGAGTTTCCATGCACTTCCAATCAGAGTTGTATGAATATCCACGATGTATATAAGAATTGCTTACAACATTGCTCGTTAAGTAGTTCCCCTAAATCAATACTCTTCTAGTGTCTATCCCTAAGGTAGTCCAGTGATTTTTGTGTCGTCAAATGATGAAGAAATGCGAAATACGAAATACGAAAGCCAGAAGTACTTTTGGTCAATATATATTTTAAGCCAATTAACTATTTAGGTGCTGTGTAAACAGATATGTATACCCAGGTACCTAGTTAAGCCCTATAAATGACGGTGCCCAACTCAAATAAACACCGCTGTTAGATAGCAGCAACTTAGGTTCCGGGAGATCAACGATTTTCAAAACTCAAATTGATACTGTACTCGTGGTAAGAATGAAGAGGCTTGAACCAGAATTTCCAGAATCCATATGCGATTGTGTATTTCCATTCCAAGCCTTTCTACCTGCTGTCAAATTGGACCACCAAATCTAGCATTAGTTCTAGATTCACTAGCTAGTAAGGCAGTGGATAGTGGGCAGTAAGTAGTGGGCACTCACCTCACTCTATCAGACCTAATTACCCCTTCATCTGCCGAACGCCCCTCAAAGACCCCTAATCAAGTTTTAAGACACAACAGAAAATTTGTTGACATGGTGTCCTAGGTATCTGATGCTATCCACCTATTACGGCATTATCACATTATCCCATCCGTTTGACAACCTTTAAAGACTCTGTAAAGGGCATAGGAAACTTGAGAAGAAGACAGGAACCAGGGCATTTCTACGGAAGATGTCTGGCTGTGGGTAGTCTTTGGATTCTCTGACCACACAATCATCTTGGAGCTACCATACGACAAGGCTGGGTAGAGTCCATTCAGTCAATAGAGGCATTTGTCCTCTCTGAAGAAGAGATTCCTCTGAAGACTGTGAAGAAAGGAAGGAAGACATCCGACCATCCATACCTTGTCCAACCTCTCTCTACTTCTGCCAGTCCCCCAACCCCCCAATCCCACACGATCGACGAAATTCCAGTTCCCAGTGCCAGTGCCCACATACCTATGTCCGTATATAGTACTCTACATACATACATAATACATAATACACACCTACATACATACATCACTTTTAGCGTGCAACGCTGCACTGAGCTAGGAGGTATCCTATCGTGGTTCCGCGCTTTTAAGATTATCCTTTTACAACCAGGATCATCTTCAAGGTTATTCCTTTTAACCCAAAACCTTCAGACGGACTTTTCGCTACCGGATTATTTGAAGCTACATCCATTATCATCACCATCTCATAGAAGTACATATCTAAACCGTTTACCTCATCCATCATTCACATCTTCATATATACATGCACATCTATACTGTTCCATACCCATACCTTCTCTGCACGTCTATACAGCATCATAAAGAATTTAGGATACGCAAATATTGAGAAAGAAGTATTAATTCAGGGCTAGGCTGTCATTGACGACGGCCAAATAAAAATTATATATTAATCATGAATACTACAGCATATGCTTCACCACCTCGCGATATGCATCCTCGATCAACCATGCCAAGTCTTCACGATACAACATATCGACCTGGCCCACCTCATCAGGGAGCGCCGTACTCGATGCCACAAACAATGGCATCTCAACATTCCACCATTTCGGCCTACGAACAATATAACAATTCTCTGCCTGTTTCTCGTCCTCCTCCTCCAGAGCATTTGCCATCCTCAGAGGCCGTGTCGTCATTTTCTATTGGGCTTCCAGGTCAAGAACCATCACCTCGGTCTATTACTGTAGATGGGAGAAAATATACGTATGTTTTGATTTTGGATCGAATTCTCCCCCTCATTTAGGTCAGGGGTGGCATATCAAGCTTCGATTGTGTTATCGGGGCGAGCGTCGCTGATTGATTTTCTAGTTTGGAAGTTCAACAGCAACCAAAACGAGCTCGAATGTGTGGATTTGGAGACAAGGTAAGAATCAAAGAATTTAATGAGAATTCGTCTTCTCATGTGGTCTCGTTCTCGATCATAATTAACCATATCTAGGATCGTCGGCCTATCACTCCTCCTCCATGCGTCAAACTTAGTATAACAGAGATTGCCACTGGGAAAGAGGTAGACGTCAAGTGAGTTCCAACACCATACATCTATACAACCATGCTAATGTCTAAATAGCAACATCGAACATGGAATGTTTGTGCTTAACGTAGACTTATGGTCAGCGGATGGCGATCGACCAGTCAATCTTGTCCGCCACTCGCAAACTTCTCCATCGATCTCAGCCACAGTTCCAGTATCGTATACACAAATACAAGGAGGTGCAGCTGCATATTCGAGTCTACTTCCCGGACAAAGTCAACGAGAACCCACCAGCCCAACGTATGGTAATGCGCCACCTTACCAGGGAGCTGGTTTCAGTCCGTTTCCGGGCCCTCCACAAGTGAGCGCATACTCACAGCAACAACCCGGACAACAGTCGGGTTACGGTGGAAATCCCAACTACCCATCTCCAAATGGATATCAAGTACCACCTCAACAGTCGAACTATTATTATCCTCAACGTATGAACCCTTACTAGATTTGATGACTACGAATGTAAAAATGTGTACTGATCAACTTATCATAGCATCTCAATCCGTCCCAAGCCACAATAATCAAGATCCTTACCCCTCTCGTCCTTTCACCCCACAAGATATCGGATTAGGTCGCATACCCATAAGCCAGACAAATCCCCCACAAGGAATGTTCACACGAAACCTTATTGGCAGTTTGTCGGCTTCTGCATTTCGTCTTACAGACCCGGATGACCGAATCGGGATCTGGTTTGTGCTTCAAGACCTTTCCGTCCGAACCGAAGGTGATTTCCGGTAAGCTATCTATCTACCTAGTCATTCCTTAGTACGTCCTGTACTAATGTTAAAGCAGCCTTCGATTTTCATTCGTCAATGTTGGTGTGCCTTCAGCACCACAAAATAACGCCAACTCATCGTGTTCCGTTAACACTGGCAAGGCCCCTGTTCTTGCTTCATGTTTCTCGGAGGTGTTTAAAGTTTACTCCGCAAAGAAATTCCCTGGTGTGGTAGAAAGTACGCCATTAAGCAAATGTTTTGCTACACAAGGTATGACATACCCCTCCTTCTAAAGCTCAAAGAATTGATTCTAATGGCATTAAAAGGCATCAAAATCCCAATCCGAAAGGATGGAAAGGATGGACCAGGAAAAGGAGGCAAAGATGGTAGCCGAGGCGATGACGACGATGACTATTAGAAGATTGACCTCCGTCTGGTCTTACGCCTTCGACAAAATTTCTCTTCAGAAACTACGCGCATATACGACAACATTTCCTGGGGCCAATCGAAGCGCCGTGCACTATTTATTCCAAAATTTTACTGTTATTACACCAACGTTTGTTCGAATCCAGGATCCCCAGCGCGAGTTTTTTCTTAGTCTAATTTGAAGAACATGAGCCGAGTTCCGAAGAGAAAGGGAGGATAAAAAGAAATTACCATCAGGCGTTACATTTTATGGCAAAGATGCATATATCCGTTTTCCGTGTTGTGTTGTATTGTGTTTTTTCTGCTGGAAAAGACTCGAATTGGCTTGGATACAGGGACGGAGTACGGCGTGACGATACAGGCATGGGATTTGTTTGAATGTTGGTCGATTTATAACTGGAATTTAGTTTGTCCAAGCTTCGGAGAGAAGTGAGGAGTCGGTATACCTACAACTAAATAGGTATATCTTGATGTATAGAACAGCCTTTATGGTATATTACATATTCACTTCGTACATTCCCAGGCGTTTCTATGCATACCTATCTACCTACCTACCTATCCACCTACCTACCTATGCAAATTGACAATTGCTTGCGAAGTCTTAAAGTTCTAAGGGGTCATAATAATAGACTGAACAGTTTTGTGCAACTATCCTCTACCCTGATCAGGGTGATGCGACATGTGGTGACGGCTCTTTGTTAAATCCAATCTCTCGTATCGTCCTTCGAACTAGCGAGAGGGGGCCAAGAGGGAGAGGGGAGAAATCGATCTATTGGCTAGATATCACCTAATCTCGCTGGCCTTCATAAATTCAATGCTGAAAACGCAAGCGAACATCAATACAATACAAATCAATGTGTATATAAGGAAAGCATAGGCAATAATAAAGTGCAGAGAAGAAAGGAAGCTAATGCGATGCCCAATCGCCAGACGAGGAACGTTAACTCTTCCAGATAGGTGCTGGAGATTGTTCACAGATCGAGGGACTCATGGTCGTGAGTTTGATGATCATAGTATGAGTAATATATGTTGGTTGGGGTTTCCATTTTCGTAACTCTTCCTAGAAATAGCTGACTATATCCTACATTCAATTGATACATGCGCTTAATCTTCCCGAGTATCATGTCAAGCATCTGTAGATACATGCTCTTATCCGACGAAAGATCCAGACTTCACTACAGCACGTCCATTCACATTAAATAGTATGATCGACTCCAGTCTACATACTTCTTCGTTTGCATGAAATTCCTACATCTTAATCACTATAGTCATCCTCATCCCTATAATCGCCTAGCAGAACATCGTCCACTCCTGGGCCACCTAGCAATCCATTTGCATTACCCTTTTCCTTTTCTCGTCCCCATTCCGTCTCCACTCTCAGGAATATCCACATCCATCTCCTAGCGACTTCTAATACCTCTAATAAGAAAATGCCGCTTTCAAAATCGGCAAAGTGGTCAAGATGAGGAGAGAGTTTGAGAGACCATGTGAAACGGAGGAGGAAATCAAAAAAGATGGCGATGTAGTAGAGCTCTGGTGTAGGGAGATACAGGCGAGGTCGAAGGGGGTAGGAGGCTGTATTTTTTGATGACGGAGTGAGGAGAGTGAGGTCCCAGTCTTTAGTCACATCCCAGTAGAAAGAGTACAGAGAGTTGATGAGTACGCTTAGTAGCCAGAATCGATAGAGTGTTGTTGTGGTGATGTTTATCGAGGTTTCATTGACGGAGAGATTTCGCTGCATAGCGGAGAATATTATCACAGGGAACGCCGTGGAATACTTGAGCGCATTGGCTAAATGTTGACCACCCCATCCAGAAGTCGATGAGCGTGAATTCTTAACTCGTAGGTATTCGATTATGCATTGCCGGAGACGAATAAGTGAGGGTATCGCAATCATAATAGGGACGAGATATTGTCCGCCACAACCACGATCAGGCCGAGAAGTTGCGCTACCAGAAGGGGTGAAGAACATGCAAAAGGAGACGAAAAGGTCGGCTATGATTTTCGCATAGGAGGTGAGAACATCAGCCAGGAGAATGTCGCCAAACTTGCCTTCATTGGGAAGAGCGAGACCGCCAATTGAAACACGCTTGAGGGCGGAGAGAAAATGAAGACGACCAGAGTAAGATGCGCGGCGTAAGGGAACCAGAAATGCGAGGAAGAGAAGGCAGATGTAAGTTATCGGAAGAAAGTCATAGAAGATTACTAGAGCTGGGTCGCGGTGGGAGAGTGCCCAGAAAAGGAGGATTGAGAGGACAAGAGGGATTGTGAGATAAGTAGCAAGTCTATACGCAGACAGATGATGCGGAGGATCAGTTCGTGGAGAAGCTCGTTGTGGGTATTGAATGAGTGAGGGAACATTCTGCGAGGCACTTTGGTTAGAGTGTTCTAAGAGTTCGTGTGAAATGATGATTTACAATTTTAACAATTGAAAGATAATGAAGATTTGCGCCCCAAGCCCAGACTCCTATTGAATGTCAGTAAATAGGCATCAGGAACATACTTCGTAGAGAATTACTACATACCTAATACAATGATCAATGAAACTCTATAGGGTAAGGGAAGAGTGCGACTGAAAGAGTCGAGCTCATTCTCAACAGCAGGGTCTCCATCCATTCTACCGCCTATTACAATACCACATCTGACGCACTAAGCTGATAATGAACGACTGAAGTGAGATGTAAAGAATTGAATTGGGTATAAGTGCAAAGGACACAACAATACTGGACAACTTATTAGAAAGGGAGAAGTTTTCATAAGAATATCCCAAATTAATCTGATACGTAAGGAAGCCACATGGAAATTAGATAAGAGCTGGAGTACCTAGGTAGCCTCGAGCTATCTTAGCCACATTGTGGCACAAGGCTGAGGAAATGGCGGAAAGCTCGACCTCGGCTCTAAGCTCTTGATTCATTGATACATTCCTCACGCAACCTTCGTAAAACCTACCAACTTCAACTTTATAATAATATTCCTCTTTGAAATCTAATACATATAATGACAGATCAGATATCTGAGGTACCCCCCTCGGATGTCAAGGGTCCATCCTATCAGTACCCATTCGCAGCAGCACCAGACATAATTCGATCACATCAAAAAGATGCATATTTTGAAGGAGTTCTCCTGAACCATCTTTCAAATCTCCTGCGCCGGTTATATGGAGCAAGATTTCTTCACACTTATACCAATGAAGCGCGAACATTTTCCGAATTACTCTATCTCGGTCTCACGACCTTCATTGGCAACCGGACATTAGGGGAAGAGTACTGTGACATTGTTCAGATTGAAGACGATACTCTAAGACTTCCCGATATTTCTCGACGCGCAGGCTATATTTTGAGTTCAATACTTCTTCCATATTCTCTTACCAAGATCCTCCCATCATTTCGCACTCGCATCCGTAATAAACTCGAAGCCAATCTTCGCAAGCTTACCCGAAAAGCACAAGAAAAGTCATACTCCTACAAGTTTCAACAATATATTCTCACCCATCTCTCAACAATCACATCACCCTCACCCATTCACGCCCTTACTCTCACCGTCTTTTATTTCTCGGGGTCTTATTACCAGCTGTCGAAACGTCTTTTGGGACTTCGTTATATCTTTACAAAGCGCATTGCTCCATCGGAGCAACGTGTAGGATATGAAGTCTTAGGTGTACTTCTCCTCCTTCAAATGAGCGTGCAAACCTACCTCCACCTAAATAATACCTTCTCCGTCGATTCTCCTTCCACTGCGCCTGGGAGTTCCGCTATTCTATCTAATGGCGTAGAAATTTCCCTTGACTCCCCAACTTCTCCTAGCGAACTCCTCGCTTCATCTTCAGCTATACCCCATTCCTCCAGCTCCATTGGGAAAACTACAAACACACCTGTGCTAACAGGTGCACGATATGACCTGAGTGATAACAAGGTTATGGGATGGATAAAGGGGGAGCAAATTAGAAAATGTACCTTGTGTTTGGAGGAAATGAAGGATCCGAGTGTATTGGGATGTGGACATGTGTTTTGTTGGAGCTGTATTGGAGATTGGGTTAGGGAGAAACCGGAATGTCCTCTATGTAGAAGAGAGGTTTTGATTCAACATATCCTCCCATTGAGAGGATGAAGGGGCGGGCAATTGGAATAGGAGTTCAAGCGAAATCCCGACACGGACATGATGTTATGAATAATCTGAGATGGATGCATATAAGCATTATATAATTTAATTTTGAAGTTACCTATCGAAGTAGGATATTTAGTTCAATCTTTCAAATGGCGTATAATTAGATGCATGTTTTTAAGAATTCGGACTGCGGTCCGATTTTCAAAGTTTTCAGAGTTCCAAATCTGCAAATGGTTGGATAAAACATTCATTTACTATATAAAGTAAATCTGTCAACTTCCTCTATTATCTCAATCCTTGTTTCTATCAAAATTAAAAGGCCCTCGTTTACTACCTATAGGAGCGAGTACAATAGCCGGCGCGTGCTCCCGGCAAAAATCAAGTATTGAAGCAAACGGAAGCTGTACATGAAGGGGATGATCATAAATCAGTCGTTTGCAAGCGTCGGAATTTGACAGGATACCCAGACGTTGGGATGCATCAACCCGAAGTGCCACAGCCACCTTAAAAAGAAGGATGGATACAATCACCAAGCATCACGCATAACATGCATGCGAGCTGGCTACAAGCAGGCTAGGCTTCGATTAGCAGCAGATGAATGAAAAGAAAGTTGAGGGAAATCAGGAGATAGGATCCAGGATAGTCCGACAATGATGATTATCAAATCTCCAAACCAATCAAAACATTCAAATCATTTGAGATATGGAGTTTGATTGGAATATTGAACTATTTTCAAGTTTCTAGTTGCTTTTAGATATTCGAAGCCTTATATTGTTGGGCTGCAGTTTGTACTATTGGATACCCTGGGAGAATCAGCGTTTGCATCTGGTCGACCTTTTTCATTTATCAAGGGACAAATCCCTCTCATCTTTACTTGCTCGATATTCA